CTTATGTTTTGAATTTTGATCTTTTCCTGGGCCAGCAATATGCCCCCAGGTACTCTGGAGATGCCAGAGAGCTCCTCGTCAGCCAGTGATGAGGGGGGAATGACCCCTGCTCTACAGGGCACTGTGTGGCCAGGTGAGTTTGCCCAATTGTAGGCTAAGGTAGGTGTTCTGAGCACATTTAAGGCAGGCCAGGCTACGCTGTGATGTTAGGTAGGTTACATGTATTCAATTTTTTTTTTTTGAGATAGAGTTTCACTCTGCCACCCGGGCTGGAATGCAGTGGCGCGATCTCGGCTCACTGCAGCTACGCCTCCTGGGTTCAAGCGATTCTCCTGCCTCAGCCTCCTGAGTAGCTGGGACTATTGGCGCCTGCCACCACGCCCGGGTAATTTTTTGTGTTTTTAAAAGAGATGGGATTTCACCATGTTGACCAGGCTGGTCTGGAACTCCTGACCTCAGGTAATTCCTTGGCCTCCCAAAGTGCTGGGATTACAGGCGTGAGCCACTGTGCCTGGCCTCAGTGCATTTTTGACTTAAGTATTTTCAACTTACAATGGGTTTATTGGACATGATCCCATCCTGAGTTAAGGAACATCTGTAGTCTACAAAGAGATACTTGCCAAAGTGTTCATTTAGTTCTGCTGTACTTTAAATAAAAGATATGTGTATCTTTAGTTCAAAGCTGATGCCTTGGAACGGTCTCAAACATGAGAAGAATGTTCCAACAGCAAGATGGAATCATTGTCCTGCAGTGTTGAAATTAGACCGGTGGTGTTTGCATCCTTTTTCCTTGAGAATAAATTTTCTGGATTTTAGTCTATATACTGAATAAAGCCTAGAGGTCAAAGAATAGCAGGGACTTCTGAAGATTCAGGAGTGGCTTTAGAGAGATAGCAGGGACATCATGATGGTTTTCAGCTCTTTAAAAAGATAGGTGTGGGTCAGGTGTGATGGCTCACACCTGTAATCCCAGCACTTTGGGAGGCCAAGGCAAATGGGTCACTTGAGGTCAGGAGATCGAGACCATCCTGGCCAACATGGTGAAACCCTGTCTCTACTAAAAATACAAAAATTAGCCAGGCATGGTGGCGGGTGTCTGTAATCCCAGCTACTCGGGAAGCTGAGGTGGGAGAATTGCTTGAACCTGGAAGATGGAGGCTGCATGCAGCCAAGATCATGCCACTGCACTCCAGCCTGGGCAACACAGTGAGACTCCCATCAAAAAAAAAAAAAAAAAGGCATGGACCTTAATTCATCCCAACTCAGTTTTTGTAATCATGTGCAGAAACAAGTAACCTTATATATATAAAAAGGTGGGAGAGAATGTAAACTTGGACTTTATTTATTCACAGTCACCAAGCAGTTTGGTTGATGCTGTCTCTGAAAGCATGGACAAGTGAAATGTGTAAGAGCAGAGCTCTTGGGGGCCAGGTGCAGTGGCTCATGCCTGTAATCCCAGCACTTCAGGAGGCTGAGGCGGGTGGATTGCTTGAGCCTAGGAGTTTGAGAGCAGCTTGACAACATCATGAGACCCCATCTCTACAAAAAATACAAAAATTAGCTGAGTGTGGTGGCACATGCCTGTAGTCTCAGCTGCTCAGGAGACTGAGACTGGAGGATTGATTGAGCTTGGGAGTTTGAGGCTGCAGCAAGCTGTGATTGCACCACTGTACTGCAGCCCGGGTGACCACATGAGACCCTGTCTCCGGAAAAAAAAAAAAAGAAAGGAAAAAAAAAGAGCAGAGCTCTTGGACAAAGCCCTGCTGTGGAAAGCTTGCTTCATCTGGCTCCAGCCACTCCACAACGCCTGTCTTCTTGCTCAGGAAGCCACAGCACTGCTCTAGGAAAAGGGCAGAGAGGGGCCGGGGTCTCCCACAGCTGAGAATCCTTTAAACGATGCCCGTAGGGCCCTCTGCTGTGGATTTGGTAGTTCTGCCTGCACTGAGGGAGATGCTTGCAGGTACTTCCAAACCCTGTTTGGGAATTAGCTGTGCATACAATTCAGGCTTTTAGGTCTAATAAAATGTGTGTGCCTTTGACCCTGTGGTTCTGAGTCCTTGATGTTAATGACAGAGCTGACATTGGAGCCCTTCTGTCTGCCAGCCAGCACCTCGTTGGAAGTGTTTCATGGAAACGTCACAGCCACTTGCTGAGACTGTCCTGTAATTATCCCATTTTATGGATGAGGGAACATTCACACCTAGAAGTTAAGTAAGTGGTCCAGGAAACTACGGTTTACCAGTACCCAGGCTGGGCTTTGACTTCGGACTGCCCCTGCCTCTGTGCACAGCGCAGAAGTACACACACGATGCTTCGTAGTGTCAGCTCGCGTGGAGATCTGTGTGCACATAGAATGCCGCGGAAACCACGCGCATAGTGTGATTTCACTATGAACCTGCGCATAAAGAGATCTGTGTGCACATAGAATGCCGCGGAAACCACGCGCATAGTGTGATTTCACCTATGAACCTGCGCATAAAGAGATCTGTGTGTACGTAGAATGCCGCGGAAACCACGCGCATAGTGTGATTTCACCTATGAACCTGCGCATAAAGAGATCTGTGTGTACGTAGAATGCCGCGGAAACCACGCGCATAGTGTGATTTCACCTATGAACCTGCGCATAAAGAGATCTGTGTGCACGTAGAATGCCGCGGAAACCACGCGCATAGTGTGATTTCACCTATGAACCTGCGCATAAAGAGATCTGTGTGTACGTAGAATGCCGCGGAAACCACGGGCATAGTGTGATTTCACTATGAACCTGCGCATAAAGAGATCTGTGTGCACGTAGAATGCCGCGGAAACCACGGGCATAGTGTGATTTCACTATGAACCTGCGCATAAAGAGATCTGTGTGCACGTAGAATGCTGCGGAAACCACGCGCATAGTGTGATTTCACCTATGAACCTGCGCATAAAGAGATCTGTGTGCACGTAGAATGCCGCGGAAACCACGCGCATAGTGTGGTTTCACTATGAACCTGCGCATAAAGACTCTGGAAGGAGTCATTGCTGGGCCACGAGGCTTCACGTGATTTGTGTATTTTTGTAGTCTTCAGTATTGTTTTATAATTAGCGTGTCATTCATCTCGAAGTGTGGGGTGGTTATCAAATAGTAAATTTAGATGTGGGAGAAATTGATAAGTGATTGATTTTCAAAAGATTGCTATGAAGTTGCTGGTGAAGGATGAGTGATCAGGCACCATCAGAGCTGGAGAGGCAGCAGATGAGAGTTGTGTGTTCCCGGTTGCCTGAAGAGTAGCTGGAGAGAGATGCCTCTGGTGCCAGCCCAGAATACGCAATGTGCATCTCGTCACGTGGGTGTTTGGGCTGGTGCCTTGCTGCTGGCTGGCGCCTTCTTTTCAGGAACATTGTGGGACATGGGTATCCTCAGCCACAGTTTTGTGGACAGGAAGACCCTGGGCCTCTCTAGTTTCTTTTTCTTCTTCTTCTTTTTGAGATGGAGTTTCACTCTTGTCGCCCGGGCTGAAGTGCAGTGGCGCAGTCTCAGGTCACTGCAGCCTCCACCTCTGGATTCAAGTGATTCTCCCGTCTCAGCCTCCCAAGTAGCTGGGATTACAGGCGCCCGCCACCATGCCCGGCTAATTTTTGTACTTTTAGTAGAGACGGAGTTTCACCATACTGACCCACGCTGGTCTCAAACTCCTGGCCTCAGGTGATCTGCCCACCTCGGCTTCCCAGAGTGCTGGGATTATAGGCGTGAGCCACTGCGCCTGGCCTAGTTTCTTAACTGAAATAAAACAGAGTAAGATGGCGTGCAGGGCTCATTAGCGCAGCGGGTAAACACCATGACTCTGCAGCCAGCCGCCGCCTCAGAAAGTGGGGTGTTGCCGCCCGGGCACGATGGCTCATGCCTGTCATCCCAGCACTTTGGGAGGCCGAGGCGGGCAGATCCATAGGTCAGAAGATCGAGACCATCCTGGCTAACATGGTGAAACCCCGTCTCTACTAAAAATACAAAAAATTAGCCGGGCGTGGTGGTGGGTGCATGTGGTTCCAGCTACTCGGGAGGCTGAGGCAGGAGAATGGCGTGAACCCTGGAGGCAGAGTTTGCAGTGAGCGGAGATCACTGATGCCACTGCACTCCAGCCTGGGTGACAGAGCAAGACTCCATCTCAAAAAAAAAAAAAAAGAAAGTGGGGGTGTTGCCACATGGAAGTGGTGGCAGTGCTTTTCTGGTAGCATTGTTGGAATGAAAACAGGTTCAGTCCTTGATTACTAGGCTCTTTGTACCCAGGTACCTCTGGAGACTTGGCAGAGAGTTCGATCTCTCAGTGTCCAGGGGTGGACTTCCTACCTAGGAGTAGCACCGCATTCTTCTCCAGCACCTGCTCCTAACCAGGAAATTGGGGTAGACCAGAACCCCTAGTCTTCCCAGCAGCTCAGTGTTTCTTGCCCCAGAGCATGTGCCTTCATCACAGTGACTCTGAACATGCTGACAAGGTGCCATTTGGTAAACCTTAGGATGGCCATGAAAAATGACTCCTTGTTCTGTTTCTTCTGTGGCTTCCCTTGTGAGCAAAGATGAACGGGGTGGTTTCATTTTATTTTTGTCCTTTACGTTTTAAACATGTTTTAAGTCTAAAGTAAGTGCTCAAATCGGGTGGCTTTTTATTTTATTTTTTTGCTTTCTCGCCCCTCAGGTTGGCCCCTAGCTTGGCCTCACCCTCGTGTCAGCTGTTAGGCACTGACTCAGTGGCTCAGAATATGAAAGGCTCAGGGAGTAGCATGCTGGCCCCACCTCCCTGTCCCCGTACCTTAGCGGAGCAGCTGCCCAGCAGGGCCTTCTGCACTTTCCCAAGAGTTTACTCCATCCGTGGTGGGTGTCTTGGTACGCCCGAGATACGAGACGGTGTGCTGCTGTTGCAAGAATTTACGATTGTTCTCTTCAGCACAGAAGTGCTATAAATGGTTCTTTTGATACTAGTTTATGAAATTATAAATGTCTGATAATTGTGTGTCTTTGGTTTCAACAGCCACTCTGACCTACGACACTCTCCGGTTTGCCGAGTATGAAGATTTTCCGGAGACCTCAGAGCCCGTTTGGATACTGGGTAGAAAATACAGCATTTTCACAGGTATCGGCTGTACTGGAGCCCACCCTGGTCTGACCGTTTGGCCTGCAGAAGCATTTTGTGATCATTGTTCTCTGCTAACTCTGCCATAACATGTGACTTGCAAACTTAAGGTGTTGTGTGTGTGTGTGTTTTTTTTTTCTTTTAAACAACCTCTAGAAAAGGACGAGATCTTGTCTGATGTGGCATCTAGACTTTGGTTTACATACAGGAAAAACTTTCCAGCCATTGGTAAGTACTCTGTTTTATTACAACACGGGACAAAATATACATGTTTTTAGGAAAGAGGAAAACTTACGCTTGTAGATTTGACTTCAGTATGCCACGTGCTTCATTTGAATCTTCACAGCAATCCTGGTTAAATGAATTGGCCGAGGCCTCCCTTGTAGTAGTGGCAGAGCTAGAATCCACGGCCTGACTCCAGGCCAGTGTATTTTCAACTGCAAATCACAATTTATTCCTGCAGCTGGAAGTCAGTATCATGAGTCACGACCAACATTGTTTTAAATGTAGGACAGAATGGCATAGAAAACTGTGTGTCCACCGTGGGCAGGCAGCATGTTGCTTCAGGGATTTTAGTTTTAGTTGCGTATTTGAATGTGTGTTCTGGGTCACAGCTCTGCAACGTGTTTCTTACTTAGGTCCAGAATGTTTGGAAGCCATTCTCTGTAGCCCTCGTCTTTTTTGGTATTTTCCACACTTACCTGTGGGGAGATTTGAAGGGCCAGGTGAATGTGACATGTTTTTATGTAACGCTAAAGTACGTTCTGTTAAAAGCCATTCATCAGTGTTGTATGCCCTGGAGCTGGAAGGAGATGGGGACTGGTTCTCAGCCTTGCTCTCACCAGCGGAGAACTGAGGCCGGAGGTGAGGGCTGGGCTGGCGTCACGCTTCCTCAGTGCCGGGTCAGGGTTTGGTCCCTTTTCTAGGGGTAGTTTCATTCTTTATCCTGAAGTGAGGTGGAAGTCAAATAGCCACAGTGGCTTGACGTTGGAGAACACTGACGCGTAGGGACATACGACAGTGTCTCCTTAGGTTGATATTTAATGACATACCTTGTCAGATGTACCCTGGGAATATTGATATTTAATGATATATTTTAATGACACACCTTGTCAGATGTGCCCTGGGAATAGCTGTTCGTTCCACAAGGGCTTGTTTTGCAGCTGAACTTGCTCTCTGGGCGGCCTTGGATGCAGGTTTGTCCCCAGCCTCCATCTCCTTCACAGCCACCCTGCTGCGTGCTGGGAAGGAGAACAGGACTGGAGCGAAGCCTTTCTGGTTTGGCAGAGGCCCTGTGGAGGAGGTAGAAGCTGGGGATGAACCCTGCAGATGAAGCAGCCCTATTGCAGTCCTGAAGGTCAAGTGTGGTGTGTTTCCTTCTTAGCCCCACAGAGATGATTTTTTTAAATTATTAATTCATTTTTTTAATAGATGGAGTTTCGCCATGTTGCCCAGGCTGGACTTGAACTCCTGGGCTCAAGCAATTCTCCCTCAGCCTCCTGAGTGTCTGGGACTACAGGTGCACACCAGCACGCCTGGCTCTGAGATAAGTTTTTATCAGCAGTGGAGCGAGGGTGATTATGGGCACTGCTGATTGGGTTCTCGGTGGGTGACAGCCACCACTACCCCAAGACACAGGGTTTATCGTCCTTGCCAGTGCGTGGAGAAGCTGCCGGAAGCCCAAAGGTGGGCACAGGGTGAACCTTGTGGTCTGACCCCTGAATCTCTGCTTCTCACTGTGGTGTGCAGCCACCGGCCAGCCTCTTGCCTGCCACACAGGTGACCCCTCTGTTGTCACTGCTATGCGGTGGCATTCCACTGGACCCCTGCTATGGACCGGCAGTGTTTCCCACGTGCCTGTCACATGCCGCGCGGTTCCATGGTGCATGTTGTCCATCTTTCTGGGCCCCAGGGAGTGGCTGTGAGGGAAGGGCCCAGGCACCGGTGCTGGAAGGGCTGAGTTGCCGCGCTTGTGGCCCTTCCGGTGCTCTCGGCAGCACTGGTTGTCATCAAACCTTTGAATTTCTGCCTTTCTGGTAATTGGAAAATGACTTGTCTTGTTTAACTTTGCATTTTCTGGATGACTTATGGGGGTCAGTGTCTTCATATGTTTGTCAGACCTTCTTTTTGCTCCGTGACTGACTTGTTCATGTGTTTTGCCCATTTTGAGGAGGTTGTCGGGACATTTCACTCTCCAGTAAATGTGGCCCTTGGCGTTACTGAGTCCTAAGAGGTGTGTGTTGCCCCAAGTGGAGCTGATGGATGAGGGAGTCGGTGCCTGTGGTGTGGGACTGACCCGCTGCCTCCTGCCAGTGGGCTCGTGGCCTGTGGGGCCATCTGGCCATGAGCACTTCTCTCTGTCTGCCATGACAGGGGGGACAGGCCCCACCTCGGACACAGGCTGGGGCTGCATGCTGCGGTGTGGACAGATGATCTTTGCCCAAGCCCTGGTGTGCCGGCACCTAGGCCGAGGTGAGTCACAGCCCTGGGGAGGGCGCATGGCCCGGTGTTCTCAGGAAGCAAAGGGGACTGTGGGGTCAGGGCTTTTTAGAGCAGGTCACAGGTAAAACACAAAGTAGAAATTGAGGTTTTCTTGAATAATAAGCCACTTGTTTTTATTGATTTAAAAAACTGACTTTAAAGAATGCTGATAAATCAGCCTGGGCAACATGGCAAGACCCCGTCTCTACAAAAAATATAAAAATTAGCCAGGCGTGGTGGCTCCTGCCTGTAGTCCCAGCTACTCAGGAGACTGATACAGAGAATTGCTGGAACCCGGGAGATGGAGGCTGCAGTGAGCTGAGATTGCGCCACTGCACTCCAGCCTCTGCAACAGAGTTAGACCCTATCTGGAAAAAAAAAAAAAAAAAAAGATGAATGCTGATAAATGTTTTAAATTGCTGGAACTTTTCTGTACAGATTTGTTTTGATAACTTGGCATATATGTATTTGAAATCCTGGAGAACATGGGTTTTTACTTTTAAAAGATTCTGGTCGGGCATGGTGGCTCACGCCTGTAATCCCAATACTTTTTTTTGCCGAGACGGGTGACCTTGTGATCCAAGGTCAGGAGATCAAGACCATCCTGGCCAGCATGGTGAAACCCCATCTCTACTAAAAATACAAAAATGAGCTAGGCGTGGTGGCACACGCCTATGGTCCCAGCTACTTGGGAGGCTGAGGCAGGAGAATCGCTTGAACCCGGGAGGCGGAGGTTACAGTGAGCCGAGATTGCACCGCTGCACTCCAGCCTGGGTGAGAGAGCGAGACTCTGTTTCCAAAAAAAAAAAAGAAATTCTGAAAAAGGTTTGGACGCCATCTGTATCTTGAGTGAAAGTGAAGACTTGTTTCTTGTTTCTCATATTTATGGTAGAGCATACCTGTAATTTTTTTTCCAATAGATTGGAGGTGGACACAAAGGAAGAGGCAGCCAGACAGCTACTTCAGCGTCCTCAATGCGTTCATCGACAGGAAAGACAGTTACTACTCCATTCACCAGATAGGTGGGAGGCTGCAGATTGTGCCAGGCCCGCCCCGGGCTGTTTGGAGAGGGTGGAGTGGTCGGTGGAGTGGTCGGTTTCCCGTAAGAGATTTTCTGGTGTTGTGGGATGTGGAGCAAGAGGCTGTAAACCTGTAAACACTGCCTCTGACGGCCTGTGCACTGCTGTCACATCACCCCCGTGGCATCCCACGTCACCCCCGTCCCACCCCGGCCCAGACCCTGGGCCTTGGCCTTCCGGCTGTCCATGCAGCTTGCAGTGCCTGGTGCTCGGCACAGTCTGGGGAAGTTGGCCTCACCCCATCAGTGAATGTGAATGCTCAGATTGGCGTGGAGCGAGTAAAGAGAAGCTGGCCTTTCTTGCAGGCAAGGCCAGCTTTTGAGCCTGTGTTTTCACTTACAGAAGGAAGTGGTCCCTTCGTTTCCGGCTTCTCCCCTTTTCTAAGTTCATAGCGAAGGACAGTCCCCGAGACCTTGTTTGTCCCTTTACGCCTCCCGCAATCTTGTTGGGGCATGCTTCCTTCTGAGGCTGGGTAGGGTGCTGTCCAGGCCTTCCTGTGATGTCTCCTGGCACCACGTGCCACCAGAGGTCAGGGCTGGGGGCATTGGGATGGTTGGGGCGGGTGTGTGTCGCTAATCTGGATCTGTTCCCTGCAGCGCAAATGGGAGTTGGCGAAGGCAAGTCCATAGGCCAGTGGTACGGGCCGAACACTGTCGCCCAGGTCCTCAAGTATGTACTGAACTTCCATTGCCGGGCACGGGGCAGCAGGGATGTTCCCTGGGGGTTAAATTCTCCTTGAGTTTTTATGGCTACAGGAAATAAGGGGTCTCTAATTACTTACTTCAGGGCTCTCGGAAGGTTGCCCAGAGGTGACTATGCCAAGTGGTCTTGTGAATGGGAATTTATGTTTTCTAATAAAATGAACACCATAGTCCAGATCCTGGCTGGCAGATTGGACCCTTGTTCTTGTCTGTTGCATGGATCCACCTGTAATGGTGGCTTCTGATGGGGTGGGCTGCTGAAGCTGGTGGGCAGCTGAAGCTGGTGGGCAGCTGAAGCTGGTCTGCAGCCATCTGTGCAGGTGCCGGGCCCTTCCACCTCTGCGGGCTTGTTGGAGGCTGCCGTCTGCGGGCCTTGCCACCTGCCTTTCTCACGTTACCCGGAGACTCCCTGTAGCCTCGCTCGCCTTCCCATGCACATCAGCGTCTGAAAGTGCTCTCTGCACCTGCTCCGCACCTGCTTCCTCTCGCGCCTCACTCGGCCCCATTGCATGCTTCCCTCTGCGGCTTCCCCGCTCCTGCCCCCCAGATTCCTCTGAGATGGCCCTCCTGGCAGTTCCAGAAACTTGCCTGTGGTTTCAGCTTTGTGTCCACTCTTCATTCCTCTTGATCCATCCGGGGTCATTTGGTCTGATTCCAGGTGTCCCGGCATCCCAGCATTTTTGGGGAGGCTCTGGCCAGTTCCCCCAGGACCTGCCCCCTCAGGGTCTCCTCCCTACTGGTCCAGGGGCCACCGTCTCCCCAGCCTGTCTTCAGCCATGGCTCGCTTGTAGCCTCTCCTTCTGCATCTGCCTGTTCTGTATCCCACTCGAGGTCCTCAGGCACCCCATGTTCCACGTTCCTGAAATGGCCCTGTCTCCCCTCACCCACAGCTCGCTCCTCAGCACGGCAGTCACTGCCTCCACCCAGCTTTTCTGTCAGGTTCTTTGGGGTCCTGCACAAGTCCATCTCTCCCACATCCCACATCACCCCCGTCCCACGTCACCAGTCTGCTCCTCCGTCTCCTGGGCCCGCCCTGTGTTTGGCGTGGCACCTGCTAAGTCCCCACTGCGTGCCCTTCAGAGTCCTCTGTCCAGCAGCTCCCCAGGCCCCACTATACCCCCACTCACACTTCCTCTTGCTGCTGCCTGGAGTGGCCCCATCAAGTCAGTGCTGTTTCTCTGGAAACACCAGGCCACTCACCATGCTCACTGTTTCTCCTGGTCCCCTGCCCGCTCCCCACCAGCTCCCGCCCCTGTTGCTGGATGATCCTCCCCAACCTGCAAGTGCTGCTGCACCCAAGCACCCAGACGGCTTCCACAGTTACACCTGCAGGGCTGATTTGTCCCTGGACTCCAGGCTCAGGTCCAGCTGCTTATTCTGCATTTCCACCTGGGTGTCTGTGGTGCATGGTGACCTGACAGCCAGAGCTCGTGCTGGCCCCAGCCTGCTTCTCCCACAGTGGTCCTTCAGGTGTTCAAACCAAAATCTGGGATTGTTCTAGACCCCTCTTTCTTTTTGAGAGGGAGTCTCGCTCTGTTGCCAGGCTGGAGTGCAGTGGCGTGATCTCAGCTCACTGCAACCTCTGCCTCCTGGGTTCAAGTGATTCTCCTGCTTCAGCATCCCGAAGTACTGGGATTACAGGCATGAGCCACCGCACCTGGCCAGGACTCCACTTTCTTTTTTCTTTTTTTTTTTTCGAGACAGAGGATAGCTCTGTAGCCCAGGCTGGAGTGCAGTGGCGCGATCTTGGGCTCACTGCTACCTCCGCCTCCTGGGTCCCGGTTCAGGCAGTTCTCCTGCCTTAGCCTCCCAAGTAGCTGGAATTACAGGCATGCACCACAATGCCCAGCTAATTTTTGTATTTTTAGTAGAGATGGGATTTCACCATGTTAGTCAGGCTGGTCTTGAACTCCTGACCTTGTGGTCCACCCGCCTCGTCCTCCCAGAGTGCTGGGATTACAGGCGTGAGTCACCAAACCCGGCCAGTTCCTCTTTCTTTCAATGGGCCCATTCAAAATATGTCCAGACTCTGACCAGTGTTCATCCTTTAACTCCCTGTGCTGGTCCAAGCCCCATCTTCTTCCTTCTTGTTGATCTTCCTTCTCTCTTTGTCATCCTAGAGTCTCTTTAGCAAATAACAGCAGAGTCATCTGCATCAGACACATTGGCCACTGCTCTGCCCTGAACCGCCCTGGCACTTCGCTGCTGACTCAGGCGGGGTGCTCTACCCCACCTCCCTGGCATAACACCTTGTGCTCTGGGGACACACCAGCCTCGGGGGCTTTGCACGTGTGGTCCCTGGCACTTGGACCCTGCTCCCCCCACACCTGCCTGGGTTGCGCCCCATGTCTGCGCAGGTACCCTTTGGCACCAAGGGGTAGCTACGTTAGTAGCGCCACTCCCCGTTCCTGCGTTACTCTTCTCTGCAGTGCCAACCACCGGCCCACGTGGCTGCTGCTTCCTTGTTTGCCCTTCGCCAGGTCAGCTTTGCCAGTGCTGCTGTGTCCCTTGTGTGTGGATGCATCTTCAGCGCTGCAGCTGGGCCGGAGGTGGGAGGAGGAAGGTGGTGTGGGGGTGGGGCGGGGAAGCAGGCTGTCCTCCCATCTTCTGCACTGCAGCTGGGCTGGAGATGGGAGGAGGGAGGTGGTGGAGTCGGGGGTGGGGGTCAGACTGTCCTCCCAGTGTCTCCTTTGGGCTTGAGCATTGGGAGGGCCTGTGTGGCCATCCCAGTCCCGTGCTCCACCCCACCCAACTCCCCTCCGCAGGTCTTCCATTCTGCTCCCAGGAGCACCAGGGCCTTGCTGCCTCGGGGCCTTTTCTGTTGTTTTACCTTTTGTTGAGGTCCTCTGACCCCACCTCCACCAGACCCGAGAGGAGATCAGAGTCCCGTTAGACTTTTGGCTGCAGAATCTGCTCTTCCTGCGGCCACGGTTCCTCCTCACTGGTGTGCACAGTCATGCTCCCCACTAAGCTGCAGGTTTCTCTGCAAGGACTCAGGTTCCTTGGTTGTCAGCTCAGCGTGTTTGGTGGAGGGGAGAGTAGAGCAGAGCATGAAGGTGCTGGGAGGCCTTCCTCAAAGTTGGCAAAACTCACAGTGTCTCAGAGCTGGGTTCATGTTCTAGTTCTTGCCTCTGTGCCAGTGAGACCAGGAAACCAGGCTGCTCAAAACCCTCTTGCGTGTGCTCTCTGTGGAGACTGGGGCAAGGGCAGGCCCCCTGGGCCTCAGGTGAGAAGAAGCAGATTTACTCTGGGCTTTCTTCCTGTCTGTGGCATTGGCTGTGCCCCGGAGTTTAGGAACCTTGGCCCTTCTCATCCAAGAAGCACCTCTAACTCGAACACTGCTTCCCACAGCTGTCACTGCAAAGATGAGATGTCTTTGAATTGTACAAAAGCTTATGGTCATTCTCCTGCTCTCTGTAGGAAGCTTGCTGTCTTCGACACGTGGAGCTCCTTGGCAGTCCACATAGCAATGGACAACACCGTTGTGATGGAGGAAATCAGTAAGTGGCTCAGGGTTTCTGTGGACAAGAAAGTTGAAATTATGGGCAGCACGTGCACTTCCTCGCCTGAGTCTCGACAGGAGCCTCGGCGAGTGTTGTCAGTCGCCCCGTGCCGTGCTGGAGCTCCGTGGGGCCTGCATGCCAAGCCAGATGCACAGTGGCCCCGCTGTCCTCTCCTGGTGGTCATACCAAGAGAGGAGCGCCCAGGCTCTCTGGAGGCCGAGACTGGGTATCTCACGTCATGTTTTGTGTCTTGGTTACAAATCATTTGTGAAGGCGTGCTGTACTTAGGCGCCCTCGTGTGGGAATTCTGGTGAAGTTCTGTTGCGTGCCTTGATGTGCCACAGAGATGCAGCAGCCCTCTGGCTGTACCATCTCGAAAGGCGTGTCGTGAAGGCAGAGCTCTTCTCAGCTTTCTGGAAGAAAGGTCTGCTGCAACCCTGAAGGAATCTAGGCGTGGCAGCGTTTACCTCTAGGAGGAAAACTGTGACTCAGTTTTAACAAATGGGCTCATTGAGTGAGTTCCAAATTCATGTTTCACCTTCCATGATGTAGCCAAGCTGAGAACTCTTAAAAATGCCTCACCACCTTCTATTACTCAGGGCCACCTTTTTCCCAAGGAACTTCTCAAAACGCCCTCAATTCCAATTTTATTGAAGTTCTACAGGTACACTATTGCCTTGAATCCAGTTTTCCTTAAGAAAGAGCTCATTTAGGCCGGGCGCGGTGGCTCATGCCTGTAATCCCAGCACCTTGGGAGGCTGAGGCGGGTGGATCATGAGGTCAGGAGTTCGAGGCCAACCTGGCCAACATGGCAAAACCCCGTCTCTATTAAAAATAAAAAAACTAGCCGGGCATGGTGGTACGCGCCTATAGTCCCAGCTACTCGGGAAGCTGAGGCAGAAGAATCGCTTGAACCTGGGAGGCGGAGGTTGCAGTGAGCCTTGATCACGCCACTGCACTCCAGCCTGGCGACAGAGTGAGACTCCATCTCAGAAAAAAAAAGAAGAGAAAGACCTCATTCAGAGTCACAGCCCTAACTGTGCACAGATTCACAGCGGGAGTGGGTCCTGCCCTGTGACTGGGTGTGCCAGGTCACCGCACAGGTGTGTGCTGGGTCACAGACGCACCCCTTCCCTGCCTCTCTGTTTGATGCAGTGTGCCGCGTGTCACTGCCCATCTTTTGGATGCTTGATGGTCCCACCTTTGGCCAGTGGCCACCTCAGTCTGTCGATGTCTTTTGCTGTGTTGTGGCGTTTTTCTGGGTTAAGCAGATGCTGCAGGTGCCTCTGAACGTTCCCTGCCTAGCCCTGGAATCAGTCTGGCTCCTCTGAGTGGGGAGTGGTGCTGAGAAACCTCAATCCGGGCGCCGGGCATGCTCCGTGCTCCTGGAGTGTCTTCCCCATCACTTCACCCTCCAGTTGATGAGTCCTCCGGACTCACGGGTGTGTGTAGGTGGAAGGGGTGGGAGCAAGGAAAGAGGTTGCTGAAGAGGCCCGGAGGGAGCGGGTTCCGGCTGTGCTGGCACTAGCCAGGCTGGTGGGCTGCGTGGGTACAGGCTGGCGGGCGGGTACGGGCTGGCGGGCGGGTGCGGGCTGGTGGGTGGGTACGGGCTGGTGGGTTGCGTGGGTGTGGGCTGACTGGCTGCGCGGGTACAGGCTGGCGGGCGGGTACGGGCTGGCGGGCTGCGGGCACTTTTATTTCTGTGATTTTCCTCTGAAGTGCACATGGCTTTTTCTCATACTGTTCTGTGTGTGTGCTTTATTTCACAATAAAACAAATTAAGTATGCATAGAAAATATGTCTTTTTTCTCTTGGTGGCAAGATTATGAAAAAATTTTCTCATGCTTTTCTATATTTTCCAAGTTTGAATTTCAGTGTAAGTACCTGGCTTTGTAATGCCCTTTTTCTGTTACACGATCATAATTTGCTTGCTTGCTTGTGGGAGCACTTTTGTGCAGCTGTGCTTGGTTAGTGAAAGCGTGTCTCCCTTTCTAGGAAGGTTGTGCAGGACCAGCGTTCCCTGTGCAGGAGCCACTGCGTTTCCTGCAGATTCCGACCGGCACTGCAACGGATTTCCTGCCGGGGCTGAGGTCACCAACAGGCCATCGCCGTGGAGACCCTTGGTGCTTCTCATTCCCCTGCGCCTGGGGCTCACGGACATCAACGAGGCCTACGTGGAGACACTGAAGGTGGGTCTTGCCGTGCGGCGCTTGCCCTGGGTCCCCGTCCCCTTCTCCCAGTTTTTAGTCCCTTTCAGTGCGTCATCGTCATGTGGCCGTTTGTGCAGCCAGCTCTCGGGGGAGGGGTAAACGACCACGGTTTACACCATTTCCCAAGGGGTGGGTGGGCGTGAGGCACGTCCATCAGGAGACATGCTGCTCTACTTCTACAAGTGTCAAGGCGAATGTCGAGAATGAAAACATGAGGCACTTGTTGTAGGGGGTCCTTGGAACCAGGTGCCACTCCTTGGCCTGACAGGGAACCCTGCCCCTCCCAGGTCTCCACTGTGCCCTAGGCATGCCCGCCCCACTCCCCCACAGCCCTCTTGGCCTGAGCTCCCTTTGGAGGGTGGGTTGGCCTGTGGTGAAGAGACTTGTGGGCTGGGCTTGGGGATGGGCAGGGCTCTGTGAGGAACTCCAGCCACAGGCTCCCCCATGTCATGAAAGTAAAAGGGGGCCAGGCCCGGTGGCTCACGCTTGTAATCCCAGCACTTTGGGAGGCCGAAGCGTGCAGATCACGAGGTCAAGAGTTCGAGACCAACCTGGCCAACATGGTGAAACCCCATCTCTACTAAAAACACAAAAATTAGCCGGGCGTGCTGGCACACACCTGTAGTCCTAGCTACTCAGGAGGCTGAGGCAGGAGAATCGCTTGAACCCGAGAGGCAGAGCTTGCAGTGACCCGAGATTGTGCTATTGCACTCCATCCTGGGTGACAGAGTGAGACTCCATCTCAAAAAAAAAAAAAAAGCAGAAGGGAAAACCATCCTTTCTTCAGTTAACTCAAATTTTAGACTAAGGAGTCACATTTGTATGGAACTGAAATGTAGCTTTCTGTTAAAATTATTCAGTTGTCTGAACTTGGCCCCTCCCTCCAGCCTTCTGCCCACCCTGTTGTGTCCCTGCTGCCCCCGCACGTGGGCCCCATCTCCATCGCTTCTGCCCTGTCAGGTCAAAGCACTCAGCAGGGCCGCTTCCCCCACCCCTGCTCACATCTCCTGCCAGCCCCCCTCACTCCCAGCCTCCCCAAAGCCCACCTCTGACATGAAGCTTCCCTGAGCCGAGCCTGCAGATTGGGTTTCTTGCGCCTGTAGGATGTCCTGTGGTCTTTCCTGGACAGTAAGTTCCTCGGAACCATGTCCCCCTCCTGTCCCCTCTTGTGTCACCCAGTTGGGTCTCAGCAGGCCCTTGGGCCCCCTATGGCAGTGGGTAGGGGGACCATCTGCTCCCGCCTGGGACCTGTGCTCAGCTTCCCGCCCCTCCACAGCACTGCTTCATGATGCCCCAGTCCCTGGGCGTCATCGGAGGGAAGCCCAACAGCGCCCACTACTTCATCGGCTACGTTGGTGAGTCGGGTTCCCACCATGTCCCTGTGGGCCTGTGCCCTTTAAGGGCATTCTGTGAGCAGGTCCCACACGCCAGGTGGTCACTTGAGGCCACCAGTAGAAAAGCAGCATGCTCTGAGCGGGGGGGGTTCACGTGCAGCCTGGCCGCTGGCAGCCTCCTGCGTACCCCATTCCCTGATGGTCCCATGCCCTCTGCTCCCTCCCCTCCTCCTGCCCGCTGCTTCTCAGCATGATGTGGGTACAGTGGGTCTGAAACGCGGCCACCTCTGTCCCTTTCCTCTGCTGGCTCGGCCGCCCATCTGCCTGCCTGCCTCGTCCTCCCAGGTGAGGAGCTCATCTACCTGGACCCCCACACCACGCAGCCGGCCGTGGAGCCCACTGGCAGCTGCTTCATCCCGGACGAGAGCTTCCACTGCCAGCACCCGCCATGCCGCATGAGCATCGCGGAGCTCGACCCGTCCATCGCTGTGGTACGTGGCGGTCTCCTGAGCACTCAGGCCCGTATTCCCAGTCGTCTTGTACTGAATGCTGTTTGGGAATGACGAGGAAAATCTTCAGATTTTTGCATTTTGGTTTTTTTTCAACGTGTTGGGATGAGTATTGCGTTCACGGGGTTGGGATTCTGAAGGGCACAAGAGCCTGAACCGTGTCCTCGCACCTTCACGTCCCTCCCCCAGGCACCACCTCCTGCGCAGCCTTCATGGCCTTCGAGTGGCCCGGAAAGGGTGTGTCTGGGCGTGAGCGTGTGTGGGCACGTGCTGAGTGTGCGCGGATGAGTGTGAGCCATGGTGTGTTCCCCTCACACCCACGTTTAAACACGCGGGCGGCCCCTCCACCCCCTCCTGTGCCCCCTTCCTCACACCCACGTTTAAACACACGGGCAGCCCCTCCACCCCCTCCTGTGCCCTCTTCCTCACACCCACACAGACACACGGGCGGCCCCTCCACCCCCTCCTGCGCCCTCTTCCTCACACCCACACAGACACACGGGCGGCCCCTCCACCCCCTCCTGCACCACCTTTTGTTTTCCGGAGGCTCTGACTTGATCTCTCTGGGGGATTTCCTAAGAACGAGCTTCCCTGTTTTTCCATTTTGATTACCTAGTTGTGATTTTTGGTGTGTGATTTATGCAGACCTGCCTGCCCTCAAATATATTTGATGGTGAAAGAGACCAAAGAAAAACCCCTAGAAATCATGAATGACAGTGACATGCTTAGGGGAGCAGTTAACTGAGTCAGGGGCTCTGTTGTGGATGCTCTGCCCCGTTTAGGAGGAAGAAGGCAGATCTGGGCCTGAAATGGCACAGTCTGTGAGCTGCGGCACAGCCCCAGAGCGCACACCACGCTCTATGCACCTGCTGGGCAGGGTGGCAGGAGTGGGGAACATGGGCTAGAGCTCTGTGGCTCACACTTTTTTTTTTTTTTTGAGACGGAGTCTCGCTCTGTCACCCGGGCTGGGGTGAGTGGCGCGATCTCGGCTCACTGCAAGCTCCGCCCCCCGGGTTCACGCCATTCTCCTTCCTCAGCCTCCCGAGTAGCTGGGACTACAGGCTCCCGCCACCATGCCTGGCTAATTTTTTGTATTTTTAATAGAGATGGGGTTTCACTGTGTCAGCCGGGCTAGTCTTGATCTCCTGACCTCGTGGTCCACCCGTCTCGGCCTCCCAAAGTGCTGGGATTACAGGCGTGAGCCACCGCGCTCGGCCTGGCTCACACTTCTTACCAGAACCTAGTCACGAATACGTCGTCTAACTAGAATTAAGTATGTTTGTTACCGTAAATGCAGCTTGGTGGCTTACAGTGATTGGCAGTCTCTCAGTCAGGTCAGGCTAGAGACGGGAGCGGACGCGTGAACGTTGAGGAGTTGAGACCAAAGGGGCCGCCCAGTGGGATAACTGTCCTCACCCGTGAGGAGGAGGAACGTCCCCTGTCCCCCGGGGAGAGTGCTCCCACATGAGCCGGGGCCGCGGAAACGGCGTCTTCAGAAGAAGGGAGTGCCCAGTTTGAACTTCTCCCATTTCGTCTTTGTTTTCCCCGTTTCTTTTTCTTCCTGTGTTAACATCGGCACGTCTGGCAGCGTTAATCCCTAGTGACTGTCGTTACAGGTGGCTTCCTAGTGACCGTCGTTATAGGCGGCTTCCTAGTGACTGTCGTTACAGGCGGCAGCTTTAAGGATGTGATTAGGGTGATCCTCGGCAGGTCCCCTGTCTCCTCAGCAGGAGGCTCCCCGTGGCAGTTCTCAGTGGCCTTTGCCACCCAGTTGCCACCAAGCTTCCAGGGAGATGCTGGGTGAAGGCTGAGACCCAGCGGCCCTGCCTCACAGTCGCACTTGGCCCTAACTCATAACCTGCCTCATTCCTGGAAGATTCGGTGAGGCCTAACAAATGCACACCACATAACATCGCGTGGGTGAATCAAGGCAGAGCAACATAGTGGAACCTGAGGGGAGCCGGGCACTGGTGCAGCAGGCCGTGCACAGGGCACCCTCGGGGCTCCCTTCCCGGCCCCAGGAGGCGAGACAGGCCGGAGTGTCCAGCACGTGCACGCTGGGGGCCTTTGCTGCGCCACTGGCAGTGGGAACGGAAGCCCCTGCCTCTTCGCTGACAGCAGATGTGGGTGTACTGTTCTGCTCATAGTCATTTCGTTTTAGGGGTTTTTCTGTAAGACTGAAGACGACTTCAATGACTGGTGCCAGCAAGTCAAAAAGGTTTGTAGCCGCCCCACCACCCGCAGCCGAGCTGGACCGCCCAGGGAGACAGGCAGCAGGGTGTGCAGGGGCCGAAGGCCAGCGTCCAGGTCTCAGGCAGCCTCACGGGGCGGGGGGAGCTTTGTCCTGCCTGGCACAGCTGTGCAGCTGAACAGGGTGGGGTGTCCTGGATTGCCCACCTGGCAACACGGTTAACAACCCTGGGGACGGATGTTGCGTGTTGACTTTAGAATGGGATTTCCAGTGTCCTCATCCGTCTCCTGTTGAGATGGGGGTGGTGATGGGGTGCCGAGCTGCGCTGGCTGAGTGCGTGTGGCCCACCCCCCTCTGCCATCGTGGTCAGACTGTGTGTTGATCGCCACATTGGGTCCTCGTGTAGCCGTTAGTGTGGAAGCTGCCTCTGTTCTCATCAGTGAAGTGGAATGACAGTCAGGTTTGGCCCCTTTCTCTTGGCTGCAGCAAGCACTGGGGTGAGGCTGCCCCTAATGACCATGTCTCACTAACAGCTGTCTCTGCTCGGAGGCGCCCTGCCCATGTTTGAGCTGGTGGAGCAGCAGCCTTCACACCTGGCCTGCCCCGATGTCCTGAACCTGTCCCTAGGTGAGAACTGCGGCTGCAGGGCCAAGTCCAGGTGGGGTCCCTCGGAGGTGGGGTCCCTCGGGGGTGCGGTCTGTGCCTTTGCTTCCCCAGTCCTGGCCCCCTTGGTTTTGACTATTAAGGTGTGTGTGAGCCTCAACTGTGAGCACTTGGCAGTGGTTTGCCTGTGAGACCAGGGGCAGAGTGGAGCGTCCTCTCCTCCAAGCCTGCGCCCAGCAACCCGGGACCCCCCTCGCCTTCCCCACCCGCGCTGCCTGCCCAGGGCACTGTGGAGCTGGGCGTGCTCCCATGGGGTCCTCACGGCTCTGGAGCAGACAGAACACACAGACTCTGTGATGACGCAGTCCTGGGTGGGGGACTCGTCCACTTGGGCACCACTGGCCATGGGTGGCGTAGACCCCTTGGACCATGGCTAACGTGCCGAAGGATCCGGCCTGGGCTCGCGCAGTGAAGCGAGTGTGTGGCCGCGAGCTTGTCCTCCTCGTACCTGTCTCACCATGAGAAGCTCTACAAGGCAGTGACAGTGGAACCACTCCTGATGACCACGAGGGTCAGGGTGCAGCGTGGGAGACACAGGACAGAGGCCCCCTCAGGCCTGAGATTGTGCCGGCCGCCCCCGTCTTCCTCACCCTGCCCTGCTCCTCTTCCCTGCTCCCTCCCCCCATATTCGCAGGTCTCCACAACCCTGGGCCTTTTCACAGCTGCTTGGGGACAGCTGTCTGTGGGCCCCTCAGGGTGGGGCTGCAGAGCAGGTGCTGCTCGGTCTGCCCCATGCCAAGGGCACTTGACTCACACGGAAGTAGCCCACCTGAGATGCCTGATGAGCTATGTCCTGTTCCTTCTAGATTCTTCTGATGTAGAGCGACTGGAAAGATTCTTCGACTCAGAAGATGAAGACTTTGAAATCCTGTCCCTTTGAAAATCCTGGGGTCGGTGGTGGCACCTGTGAGAGCCTGGGGCTCCTGGTGCCGCCGCACTTCATCCATCCCGCCCGCTCGCCTGCCGAGGGCCGCGCCCCGTGCTGCCTCCCCCCAGAGGGCCACCCGCTCTGCTCGTGGACTCAGGCTGCGCTGCCCGGGAGGCCTTACTGCTTGGTGTCCGACTGCCCAGCTCAGAGTGCCCGTCAGGGCCTGTGCATCTGCACACGGAGCCGTCTGTCAGGAGCTTCCAGAGCGTTCTCTGGACACTGCCAGCCCCGCGTTAGCGCCTGGGCCTCAGTCCCACTTGCTCCCAGGCGCCGGTTCTGTGGTTGGTTTGGAATTAAAGTCCTGTTTGAAGTTGTCAGACACAGACATGAATTTCTGGGGCGCTTCCTGAGTCAGTCTCAGAAGACCTGTGCAGGCTGGCGTGAGAGGAGCAGCAGCCACGCTGCGGCCCCACACCCAAGGACCGGGCTGCTCTCGAGGGGGCGCCCATGGCTGTGTCCTCTGCCCAGCCTGGTTACCAAGGGCGACCTCAGTGGGAGATGAGGTCGGAGGAACAAAGGCAAAGGTTGCTTTGGGGAGAGAAGTATTCAGGAAGTGGGTGTGTGGGAAACCTGAAGATGGTGTGCAGAGGACACGGCGTGGGCAGCCTGGGCAGAAGGGCGGCTGGCTGTCCTGGGGCTGCTGCTAGAGTGCCTGTCCTCAGAGTGTCCCTTTCCAGGGCTGTGGCATTCTGTGGTGGCTTCCCCAGGTGTGGGGAGGGGTGGGGCGGGGCCTCCACCTGTGACAGTCGGGCTCGGGGGTGGACAGTGTGCTTCTCCTAGGAGCCTTCCCTGTGTCCTTGCCTTGCTGAGAATTGCCCTCCTGTGTCACTGAGGTGTTAGGTGGTTTAGGGCCAAAAGGGGAAAACCACTGGAGCCTTGTGGTGTGTGATGGGCAGACATCACAGGGTGGCATCCCCTGGTGGCATTTCCGGAACCTCAGCCCTGATTCCAGAACCCACCGCCGCCTGACCCCGTGTAACCTGCTGTCCTGGGTCCCGGAGTGCACTCTGCCCCGCTGCTGTGCTGCCTTCCTGGGGAAGTGGCTTTGCCCCACTAGGGAATGTAAACAGGAGGGCTTGGGGAACAGGAGGGCTTGGGGAGCGTGGGCACGGCGAGCATGGGCACCTTTCTCAGCACCTACTGTGGCGTTGGCAGGACTCGCTGCTGCTGCATGTATAGGTGTGGGGACCAGAGATCCCCTCAGGACACACGCCGCCCGCTCTGCAGTGAGTGGCCCACCTGGGTAGCAGAGGACACCATCCCCAGTCCCCCCCCCAAGACATAGTTTATTTCCTCGTATCCTTTCTCCCTTGGGTGTAGTTGGGGTGGGGAAGGAGGGAAGGCTGGGGCGATCTTCATTCCTTGGGCTCTGCGTCTGAGTCCATGGTGCACCGCTGTGCTGGGAGCTGTGGGGGCCTGCTGTAGTGGGAGTGTGGAACACCTTGACCAAAGGGGAGCTTTTTCTTGTGTGTTTTGAAAAAGGCTTAATGAAGAGAATGTTGTTCATTCTTAGTAGTATAGTTTGCAATTCTTAATGGCAAATAATAAGTTTCAGTAGAAAACAAACCTTGTGTCTATTTTTTCCTCAAGTTATAATTGTGATTTCCAGGAAAAAACCAAGTGAATGTTTCAGCCCATAGCATCACGTAAAGGATGTGGCTGCCTGCGTGGTGGGCTGTGGGAGCCTGAGCAGGTACGTCCCCAGCCCTGGCAGGCGGCCTGTCCTGCCTGTAGCCTGGCTGTCTGTGAGCCGTGACATCCGCCCTCTCATACAACCCTAGAAGGAAAAAGTGCAAGGAAACTAGGATTTTAGGAAAGTAAAATGGTTCCCATTCTTCAACAGGGGGAAGTTGCGGAAAGTGCCCTGAGTTGTAGGTTTGGCTCAATTTGAATCACAGCAAAGCCTTCCCCAAGCGAGTAGTGACTGGCCTGGCCTGTGGGAGGGCCATGTCTGGGGCACAGCAGGGGGCTTAGTGAGGACATCGCTCCCTCTGGCCAATGCGTCCCTGTGGGCAGTCCTGGTATAGGTGCGAAGGGCCCAAAGCCAGACAGGAGGGGGCACTGCTGGGGCCCTGGTGAGCTGGCTGAGGACTTGCAGCCTCTCAGATGCTCTTACTCGCTTCCTGTGGCTGCCCTAGAAGATGACCACATTCAGTGCCTGAAACAGCACAGCCTCTTCCAGACCTGGAGGGCAGACAGCCACCTCGTGCTGTGGGCAGGGCTGCTCCTCTAGGGGAGAACATTGCTGTGTCTTTTCTAGCTCCTGGATGCCAGAAACTGCTTGGCTCATGGCGCTTTCTTCCAACCTCACAGCCAGCAACATGGCATCTCTCCAGCTTCTGTTGCTGGCATCTCACTTCCTGACTCGAACGGCCTGCCTCCCTGTTAGGCGGACCCCTGTGATGGGCCAGGCATGGTGGCACCAGCCTGTAATCCCAGCACTTTGGGAGGCTAAGGGGGGAGGATCACTTGAGCCCAGGAAAGAGAGGCTAGTGAGTCAAGACTGCACCACTGCACTCCAGCCTGGGCGACAGAGCCAGACCTCGTCTTAAGACAACAAAAAAAGGCCCCTGTGATGACACTGGGCCCACCTGGATAGTCCAGAAAGGTCTCCCATCTGAAGGTTCCTCACCCAGGCCCATCCCACAGCCCCTGGCAATGCTTACCCAAGTGAAATCCTTTTGTTTTGCCTGGATTTGTCTCTTGGCCACAGAAGGGTACTGAGACCCACAGCTGCTGCCCCCACAGATGGGGGACCCTGCCTGCCTTCCACTCCAGCACACTGTATGCTGCTCTCTACCCAAAAAGTGCTCTGTGGGACAGATTCTACCAGGAGTGTCAAATCATTCCAAGTGTCACTTAAAAGGGAATGCAATGGGCCAGGCACGGTGGCTCATGCCTGTACTCCCAGCACTTTGGGAGGCCGAGGCAGGTGGATCACTTGAGCCCAGGAGTTTGAGATGAGCCTGGCTGGCAACATAGCAAAATCCTGTCTACAAAAAATAAATTAGCCAGGCATGGTGAAGGCCTGTAGGCCTACCTACTCAGGAGGCTGAAGTGGGAGGATCACCTGAGCCCAGCAGGTCTGCAGAAGGCTGCAGTGAGCCACGATCGTGCCACTGCACTCCAGCCTGGGTGACAGTGAGACCCTGTTTCCAAAAAAATAAAAAGGGATAGGATGAAAAGTTAAGCTCCAGGGTTGCAATGAAAATAGCAGAGTTAACTTCGGTGAGTTCAGGATGTAAGCTGTGATGACACTCGGACGTAGCCTGGCTGGAGCCCAGGGCATGGCTGCAACCGTTCAGACCCACAGTGGGACTCCCTCAACTAGGCAGGAACTAAGGTCCAGAAAGGCCCTACTGGGCCCAATGAAGGCGCTTCTCTCCCATTCAAAGCCAGCTCTGTCCTCAGTCTAAGAAAAGTGAAGCGTTCCACAAACAATTTTCAGGTCAATTTTTACTAGTGTCTAGAAGACATTTAGGAGAATTCCAACTGATTACCATTTACAGTGATCACAATGAAACTACTCAGAGTTATCACTGAACTTCAGTAAAAAATACAACAGAGTACTATCAGGACACTGATGGCAGCGAGAGGGCAGGAGACTGCTCCATCGCTCTGCTCATGTCTATACTGCCAAGGTCCCCACCACACCCCCGTCCGGGGCAGAAGAGGCAGCCTGCAGATCTCTGCTGCCGGGAAAGAGCTCCTGAAGTCGTGGGATCTGGATACCGCTGGAGACGGGGCCTTCCGCGGGTCTCCCACCTCTCGAGGGACTACAGGGAGAGGCGTCTCCAGTGGGCAGCCTCGGGTCACTTCCACAGCTCCCCCAGTGGCTTCTCTGTGGCAGTGCGGATGGCGTCCTCCGAGAGCGCACAGATGTCCTCGTGGACAGCTTCAATGCTTTTGGAAGCATCCACCATCTGTTCCCACCGGGGTTTCGGGAGAAAGAGGCTCATCAGCACGTTCCAGGCTGGGCACGGGAGCCCACACCTGTAATCCCAGCACTTTGGGAGGCCCACGAGGGAGGACTGCTTGTACCCAGGAGTTCAAGACCAGCCTGGGCTACACAGGGACACCCAACCTCTGCAAAAAAATTGGCACCACTGTACTCCAGTCTGGGTGACGCAGTAAGACCCTGTCTCAAAACAACACCATGTTTCATTCTGTCCTCTGTGCTCGTGCGGATTTCACACAGGCCAGGCTCTGGAAGGCCAACCTGAACCTCCTGGCAGTGTGGTGACCTCCGGGATACCCCACACCTCTCTGAACCTCAACCTTGATAGTGCCCACGGTACAAAGCCACCCGGCATTCCTGCCACAGCCCTGATGCAGGAGAAACATGACGTGCCAACTGCCCACTCCTGCTCTCAGCCGACCTGAGCCTCCTTGTGACCCCAACCCCGATGAGTGCCCACTTGCAGGAGTGAGGCATAGCCCTCAGCACAGCCAGGCCCACCCAGCCCACCAGGTCGAGGCGACTGTCCCTCCAGCTCGCAAGCAGTGAGTGGGAAGCACAGAGGGCAGACCCTGCCCTGCCCAGGCTCCTGGGCACTGCCTAGAACGTAAGGAAGTTCCACAGCAGCCAGACAGGACCGATGCAACACTGGGCCTGACCCGTTCCTGAGGGGAAGATGAATTTGGTCCTAACAGCTGTGCCGCACAATGGCGTGAATGGTGCGAGGAACGTGGGGAGGGCATGAGCACGCGGGACGGCCTTCTCTCCACCAGAAGGAAAGCAGTGAGAGGAACTCGGAAGCACTGGCGTCTCAACGGCATCCCGGCTGCTGCTGTCAGGTGGCGCAGGACCCTTCTCAAGCTTCTTGAGAGATTTCCGGGATACCCCACACCTCTCTGAACCTCAACCTCAACAGCAAATTCTAGAAAATCTGCCAGAAGCGTGGAAGGCACTCGGAAGAGTCTAACCATTTCATGAGGTGTGACTGTGATGGAAGGAGAGTGACCCTCTACACAAAAGCCACCTTCCCAGATGCCACTCCCCGGCTGCTGTGCAGCCACACAGCTGTCGCCCAGAACCACCCAAGATGAGCCTCTCCGGGCAGCTGACTGCCAGAGGGAATGCCGCACGGCCAGAAAAGGGTGCTGCTATCCCGCCTGTGTTCCGGGAAACGAAAAGCTGTGACCAGCATCATCTGCAGGCACAGCCGGTCAGGCTGGGGCAGGCCCTCGAGCACTGCTGTGTGGAGCTCAAGGGACAGAAGCTCTGCGGGCCGTGGCCACAACGACAGTGCTGGCGCCGGACGTGCCAGAAGCCGTGGCTGCTGTCTGGAAAGAGGCCACGTGGGCAGTGGTGGGCACAGGCGACTGGAGCCTGGGGGAGAGGTGGGGGCTGCGGTTGGGAGGAGCAGAGGCGTGCCTGCGTGTCCACTGGGAGGGGAGAGTCCAGCGTCCTGGGAGTAGACAGAGTAGAGCCAGACCTGGGACTGCTGAGACTGAAGGAGGCAGAGCTGAAGGGAAAGCCAGCACACGGCACCCTCCTGAACTCAGCCAGGTGCGGCCGCAGCGCCCACGCCCAGCGGGAGGCCCGCGCCAGAGGATGCAGTGGCAGGAACAGCCTGGCGCTCATGTCTGAAGAGGGGCTGAGACTGTGGAGGATTGCGCAGATTCTCACCTGACCCACCAGACAAAGCGCCAAATGTCAACATTTAGCAAAACTCACCGGATTAGAATTTGCTGGCACTAGCTGGGTGCAGTGGTTCACACCTATAAACCCAGTACTTTGGGAGGCCGAGACGTACAGATCGCCTGAGGTCAGGAGTTGGAGACCAGCCTGACCAACGTGGAGAAACCCTGTCTCTACAAAAATGCAAAAAAAGTTAGCCAGGCATGATGACAGGTGCCTGTAATCCCAGCTACTCGGGAGGCTGAGGCAGGAGAATCACTTGAACCCAGGAAGTGGAGGTTGCAGTGAGCCGAGATGGCGCCACTGCACCCCAGCCTGGGCGACACAGCAAGACTCTGTCTCAAAAAAAAAGAATTTGCTGGCACTGAGAACCCCTGAACGACTACTCCCGGGGCTCCGCATCTGGGAAGACCAGACAGAACGGCAGCAGCTCTGCTGGTGCGCCTGTGCCAGTCACCACAGGGTGTAATCCTGAGCCACTGCTCGACGGTTCCTACTGTGCAGTTCTGGGATTCTCACCTTCCAGTTCAAAGTCGTGTCTCTCATGAGCTGGTAGAAACACCGGAGGGCCCGCTCCTGGAAAGCCCTGTTCTCGTAGCGCTCATGGCCATACGCTCCCCGCTTGGCAGCATCTGCCAACTGTAACTGGAGGAACAGGACCAGGTCGGGTTTGGGAAGGCCCACGTCTGGCTGTTTACACCAATCTAGGGAAAAATTCTGCCAACAAAGAACCCAACAGTTAAAGCTTAGTGTGGTCTAGGTTTTTGTTTCAAAAGTCATAAAAACGGGAAAAAATTTGGGGACATTTGGTGAGGCACCAAGACGTGAGACTGTTTATATGGTGGCTCGTGTTTAATTTTTAAAACCTCAAATTAAAGGTTTTGCTTTCTCCAATGTCACCTTCTCCTTTTTCCTTTGTAAACAGACAAGTGGACAGAAACGTAGGCAGGTAGAATGGCTCCTGGTCCCCGCCACCCACAGCCCAGGCCCCACGGAGGCCCTTCCAGCGCAGCTACAGGCCCGGTGGCCAGGAGGAAACAGCCTATGTACAGAGCCCCTGGAGACCCCCGGCCTAGGACACCTACCGCAAAGAGCAGCTGGGTCCGGACACAGGCACGGGGTCCTTGGCAGTGTCCTTTCTGCCATACACAGACCAGGGTCTCATCCCCCATGGAAGAGCAGGAAGGAGACAAACTCCTAGAGCCTGCTGTGTGCCAGCCCTGTGCCAGCCTAGCCTCCCCCACTGGCCCTCCTTGCCAGGGCTGTGCAAACACCCTCTGTCCCTCCCTTACTCATCCCATCTCCCTCCAAATGCTGTCCTGTTTCCGGAGGAAAGGTAGGACTGGAAAGGCTGTGACTCCAGGTCACACATCACACAACAGCACCATGAGCTGAGGGAAGGCGTCCACCAGCACCTCCCACAGGGCCTGCGGCTGTCAGTCGATCCGCACAGCAGGAAGAAGCAAAGGAATCATGAGTCTTGTTCTCCTTATTATACAACTTAATACTTCAGAGGGGAAGGACTCAAGCTAATACATGAGAAATGGCAGAATTAAAAAGTGAGGGCGTGGCCAGGCACGGTGGCTCACACCTGTAATCCCAGCACTTTGGGAGGCTGAGGCGGGCAGATCACAAGGTCAGGAGATCAAGACCATCCTGGCTAACACGGTGAAACCCCATCTCTACTAAAAATACAAAAAATTAGCTGGACATGGTGGCAGGCACCTGTAATCCCAGCTTCTCAGGAGGCTGAGGCAGGAGAACTGCTTGAACCCAGGAGGTGGAGGTTGCAGTGAGCCGAGATCACACCACTGCACTCCAGCCTGGGTGACGGAGCGTCTCGAGATTCCATCTCAAAAAAAAAAAAAAAAAATTTATCCCAACAATACAACTCAGAAATCTCATACGACAACAGATACAGCACAGTGATTTGTAACCTTATTTTTAATCCAAAAAGGTCGGGATCTTCTCCAGAAGATGCCATTCCGACACCTCCAACAAAACCCAACATGGAAAAGATAACCTCACTAAATAGTAACAAACACAACTGGTAAACTTCAATGTTCCAGAAACACCGTAAGGGAAAGGGGAAGCATTGTCAGCCGTCTGGGCAGAAAGGCCAGCACTACCCTGTCCAGGAAGAGGAAAGCACAGGCAAAGAAGAGAGCAGAGGATGGTGGCAGGGGAAGCGCGGGTACAGCCAGCAGGTGACTCGTCCATGCTTATGACCCCTAACCTGGACTGCAAGGATGTTCTCTACCAAATACCACAAGTCCACTATCACCCCTACAGCCGCCAAGATCACGGATGTACAAAGACACGGGACCCGACACTAGTGAGAAGCACTGCTCAAGACAGAGAAAGAAAAGTCTGATTCAATCGACTCAGCCAGTCTCACTGGGGCCTTCAAATCATAGGGGCACCCACATAAGGCCTCTGACAAAGCAGCAGAAGGACGCAATGGCGCAAAGGCAATTTCCTCAACAAACGCTGCTGGAACAACTGGACATCCTCATGAAACAGCATAAATTAGAGCAGACCGTATACCCTCCACAAACATAAATTCAAAATGAATCACAGGCCGGCACAGTGGCTCACGCCTGTAATCCCAGCTCTCAAGGAGGCAGAGGCAGGAGGATAGCTTGAGCCCAGGAGTTCAACACCTGCCTGGGTAATATAGTGAGACCCCGTTCTCCACAAAAAGGGGGGGAAAAAAAAAAAGACAAAATGAATCACAGACCCAAATGTTAAATGCAAAACTATGTAACTCCTAGACAATAACACAGGAGAAAACTTAGATCACCTGGGGTTTGGCAGACTGTTTAGATACAAAACCAAAGGCACAACCAATGAGAGAGTTGATTAAGATGGACTTCACGAAAATAGAAAACTTTCTGCTTTGTGAGAGACACAGTCAAGAGAAGGAACGGAAGCCAGGCGTGGTGGCTCATGCCTGTGAGCCCAGCACTTTTGGAAGCCATTTGGCGGGATGGATCCCTTGAGGCCAGGTGTTTGAGACCAGCCTGAGCAACAACAGTAAGACCCCCATCTCTACAAAAAATGTAAACATCAGCCAGGGATAGTGGCATGCACCTATAGTCCTAGCTACTCCAGAGGCTGAGGCAGGAGGATCACTGGAACCCAGGAGTTTAAGGCTACAGTAAGCTGTGATCATGCCACAACATTCCAGCCTGGGCAACAGAGCAAGACATTTCTCTTTTAAAAAAATAAATAAATAAGGCTGGGCAGGGTGGCTCATGCCTCTAATCACAGCACTTTGGGAAACAAGACAGGAGGATTGCTTGGGTCCAGGAGTTCAAGACCAGCCTGGGCAACAATGGTGAGACTCCATCGCTACAAAAAAATTGTACAAACATTAGCCAGGTGTGTTAACATGCCTGTAGTTGCAGCTACTTGGGAGGCTGAGGTGGGAAGATCACTTGAGGTCGAGGCTGCAGTAAGCTGTGATTGTGCACTGCACTCAGCCTGCATGACAAAGAGAGACCCTGTCTAAAAAAAGAAAGAAGAGAAAAAGGAAAAGACAAACCACAGCATAGGAGAAAATATGTATAAAAGACACATTTTATAAAGGACTGGTATCTCAAGCATACACAGAATTCTTAAAACTCAAAAATAAGAAAGCAACCAACCCCCTTAAAAAGTGGGTCAAGGCTGGGCGTGATGGCTCATGCCTATATTCCCAATACTTTGGGAGGCGTAGGCATGGTTCATCACTTGAGGCCAGGAATTTGAGACCAACCTGGACAACATGGTGAAACCACATCTCCTCAAAAAATACAAAATTGGCCAGGCACGGTGGCTCACGCCTGTAATCCCAGCACTTTGGGAGGCTGAGGTGGGTGGATCACCTGAGGTCAGGAGTTCAACACCAGCCTGGCCAACATGGTGAAACCTCATCACTAATTAAAAAATAGAAAAATTAGCCGGGCATGGTAGTAGGCACCTGTAATCCCAGCTACTTGGGAGGCTGAGAAAGGAGAATTGCTTGAACCTGGGAGGCATAGGTTGCAGTGAGCCAAGATCGCCCCACTGAACTCCAGCCTGGGCGATGAAAAAGAAACTGTCTCAAGAGGAAAAAAAAAAAGAAATACAAAATGTAGCATGGTGGCATGCACCTGTAGTCCCAGCTACTTGGGAGGCTAAGGCAGGAGGATCGCTTGAGCCTGGGAGGTAGAGGCTGCAGTGAGCCAAGACCGTGCCACTGTACTCCAGCCTGGTTGAGACCCTGTCCGAAAAAAAAGAGTGGGCCAAAGCACTTAACAGATACCTCATGAAACCAGATATACAGATGGCAAACAAGCATATGAAAAGATACTCCACATCATACGTCAACAGGGAAACGCAAACCAGAACAATGAGGTACCACACACCCCTTTCAGAATGGCAAACATCCGAACACTGACACCACCAAATGCTGGTGAGGATCTGGAGCAGTAGGAACCCTCGTTCACTGCTGAGGAGAATGCAAAATGCTGCAGCCACTCTGGAAGACAGTTTAGCCAAGCTTGTCCAACCCGAGGCCCCCAGGCTGCATGCAGCCCAACACAAATCCATAAGCTTTCTTAAAACATTATGAGATTTTTTTCTTTAAGCTCATCAGCAATTGTTAGTGTATTTTATGCGTGGCCCAAGACAGTTCTTCCACTGTGGCCCAGAGAAGCCAGAAGACTGGACACCCATGGTTTAGCAGTTCTTTACAAAAATAACAGTCTTACCACATATCAAAGCAATGGTATTCCCTGGCATTTACCCAAAAGAAGTGAAAGCTTATGACCACACAGAACCCTGCATGAGGATGTTTATAATGGTTTTACAACTGCCCAAACTTGGAAGCAACAAAGACGTCCTTTAGTAGGTGAATGAACTATGGTACATCCAAACAATGGACTATTAATTAGGGAAAATAAGACATGAACTATTGGTCGGGCATGGTGGCTCACGCCTGTAATCCCAGCACTGTGGGAGGCCGAGGTGGGAAGATCACTTGAGGTCAGGAGTTCAAGACCAGCCTGGCCAACATGGTGAAACCCTGTCTCTACTAAAACATACAACTTAGCTGTGCATGGTCGTATGCGCCTGTAATCCCAGCTACTCAGGCAGCTGAGGCAGGAGAATTGCTTGAATCTGGGAGGCGGAGGTTGCAGTGAGCTGAGACTGCGCCACTGCACTCCAACTTGAGCAACACAGCGAGACTCTTGTCTCCAAGCCACGGTTAGACATAGAGGAAACTTAAATATCTATTAGGGAAACAAGTAACCTGTAGCAGAACAGATGGACAAAAGAGATGTAGCCTTGGGTACCTGGGATAAGATTATCTAAAAAGTAAAATCAGGATTATTCTTCATTTTAAATTGGGCATACGTATACGTGTTTCATCACTTTTCTACAAAGCCACAAAAAGCAAAATCAGAAGAACAATTGCCTCCACAAAATCTAGACGTGTTAAAAAGATTATAAAAATTGTCTCAGGCCGGGCGCGGTGGCTCAAGCCTGTAATCCCAGCACTTTGGGAGGCCGAGATGGGTGGATCACAAGGTCATGAGATTGAGACCATCCTGGCTAACCCGGTGAAACCCGTCTCTACTATAAAATACAAAAAACTAGCCGGGCGAGGTGGCGGGCGCCTGTAGTCCCAGCTACTCGGGAGGCTGAGGCAGGAGAATGGCGTGAACCCAGGAAGCGGAGCTTGCAGTGAGCTGAGATCCGGCCACTGCACTCCAGCCTGGGCGACAGAGCGAGACTCCGTCTCAAAAAAAAAAACAAAAACAAAAATTGTCTCATTTTCATTTAAGACTTCGAGTGGGAATAGCCTTTCCAAGCAAGACACAAAGCTAAGCCAGAGGAGAATAATGCAGCGTTTCATGTAACACGGATGAGGAGGAACCAGTGAAAGTTCACCAGCAGGGAACAGGCTAAATGTACCGTGGAAGAACTTTTCTAGAGAACATGCTACAACAGTGAAAAAGCATGAGAAGGGCAGAGTTAGGGGATCTGTAAGTGCAGAAATCTGTAAGGCAGAGTTAGAAAGTTGCCAAATAATTTGTGTGGTATGGCCTCATTTATGTTAAAAAACAAAATTCTAACTATAGTAGTTTCTACATATGTATATAAACATAAAAACAGCTGAAAGAACACACATGAACATTAAGTGTTGAATGAAGAGGAAACCTACTACGATGACGTAAAAAAAGGTGGTAGGAGAGTTCATATAAACTATAACCTTCAGTTACTAATGTATCAATATCGGTTATCAATTTTAACAAATGTAACATAATACAGCACATAAATAATAGGGAAGGGGGAAGGCAGGGGTAGTATGTAGGGAGCTCTCTACATACTCTACTTTTTGATCAATTTTTCTGTATACCTAAAGCTATCTTTAAAACATTAAGTCTCTGAGGCCAGGGGTTTGAGACCAGCCTGAGCGATATGGTGAGACCTTGACTCTACTTTAAAAAAAAAATTAGCTGGGCTTGGCAGCATGCACGCACGGTCTAACCTGCTCGGGATGCTGAGGTGGGAAGACTGCTTGAGCCTAGGAAGTTGAGGCTGCAGCGAGCCATGATCGTGTGACACTGCACTCCAGCCTGGGCCACAGAGCAATACCTTGTTTTAAAAAAAAAAAAAAAAAAAAAAAAGGGCCAGGTGTGGTGGCTCACACCTGCTGTAATCCCAGAACTTTAGGAGGTCAAGGCAGGCAGATCACAAGGTCAAGAGAGACCATCCTGGCCAACACCGTGAAACCCTGTCTCTACTAAAAATACAAAAATTAAATTAAAAAATAAAATAAATTAAAAATACAAAAATTAGCTGGCTGTGGTGGCACGCGCCTGTAGTCCCAGCTATTCGGGAGGCTGAGGCAGGAGAATCCCCTGAACCCGAGAGGCAGAGATTGCAGTGAGCCGAGATCGCACCTCTGCCTGGTGACAGTGAAACTCCGTCTAAAAAAATCCGAAAAACTTAAGTCTATTAGTTACGGGGTGTGGGGAGCAGGAGGAAGAAACAGCATTCGTTAGTGCCCTTTGGGAACTAGGGGCTTCACCACCTCTGATCACAGGACTGCTAAATAAAAGAACCTGAGGCCCTAGCATGACTGTCATTGTCATTCAGAATCAAGTGCGGCATTCACTGTATCTCAGGAGGAAGGAAAGTGGCCCGGGCAGGGGCAGCAATGTACAATGGTTTTTACACTTGTTCCCAGCGATTTCAGAAAAAAGCAGGTGCACCGCGTGATCCTCCACGTCACTTTTCTTTTCCAAGTAGGAACTCAGAAGTTTGCCGATTTCCGTTGATCTTTCTAGAAAAAAAGAGAAACACACAAAATACAAGTGAGATCAGGCTTTCCCTCTACATGACAATATAGTTTGGGCTGAATTTCTCCTGGACTCAAGTCTCACTTTGAGTTTTACTTTACTAAATCTCTAGACAGGCTTGGCTCTTCTGCGGAAGTCACAGGAATTTCTCTGAGAAAGAACAGCAATCTGCAGACAAGCTGGGATGAAAAATGCTTTAGGAAAAAAGAACTCGGGAAGAAAGTGGAGACTTCAAAGCAAGCATTTATAAAATTTGTGGACTGGGTGGCCTAGGATTAAGGTCAATGCTTCACTTGAAAACTTTAAAATATACGCTATAAAACCCCTGAAAGCGCGAACAGTCATCAAACAAAACACAACACCCGAAACATCCACAAAAATGACACATGGGCTACAAAAGAACTGGAGGAAACTTTTGGGGTCGAGACCACGGTTTCGCGCGGGTTTACATGTCAGTCATCACCGTACCCCGCACTTCAAGACACGCAGCGTGGGCCGGGCGCGGTGGCGCGCGCCTGTGGTCCCGGCTACCCGGGAGGCTGAGGCGGGAGGATCGCTTGAGCCCGGGAGGTCCAGGCTGCCGTGAGCCGAGATGGCGCCACTGCACTCCAGCCTGGCCGACAAGGCGAGAGCCCATCTTTTAAAATAAAAACCGCGCAGTTCACAGCACGTCGACCGCAGGCAACTAAGCTTAGGAGCAAAGAGTCCCTGGGAAGGCAGAGGCGCCGAAAGCCGCCGCGCACCCCCACCCGCCGCGCGCACCCACCCGGGAACCGGAGCAGTTCGGCGCGGTGGCCCGCGGCGCACAGCGTTTCCACCAGCTTGCGGCTCTGCGTGCTCTTCCCCGCGCGGTCCATGCCCTCCAGCACTATGAGAGCCCCGCGCCGGGCCGCCATGACTGTCCACCGCCCGCCCCCTGCGTCTCCACACCTCCTTCCGGAGCTCCCATTGGCCGGCATCAACAGCGCGCACCGTGATTGGCTCGCATTTCCCGGCCTCAGCCGGATTCGAAGGGATTGGCCGGGGCTGGGGCGAGGGCGACGCGCTGTGGGACCGACACTCGCGCCTGCGCCCTGGGCCGTGCCGTCACTGGAGCAGCGTCCTGGGCTTCCGGGGCGGAAACCGGTGCCCCTTGTCCCGTGCGGGCCTCCGTCCTCGGGCTAGCACAGCCTTTCGCTTCGGGAGAGCCGGTGACGCCGCGCGGGCTGGATGGCTGCAGACGCTGGGTCAGGGCGCGAACGAGGGGAGGGCAGGGTCGGAGGGGCTCCCGGGCGCTGCCCGGACAGCGTCGCCTCTCGTTGGCTCCTGGCTGCGCGCAGCGGGCCCGACTCTCACGGCCCTGCGGTGCCCGCTGCATGCGCGAGGGCTCCGGTCCCGCGGCGCGCGAGACGCACGAGCGAGATGCCTCCCGAAGCGCGGGGCCCAGTGCCCAGGCTCAGCCGGGGCGCCTCCCAGAGCTCACCTGGAGCCCACCCCTACTGCGTTCTGGAAACGCTGTGTTTGACAGCAGGGGCAGGATAGGGGGCTGTGTAGACACTGGCTACCTGGCAGTTGTAGTAAAACCGTGGGGTTGATAAATGTTCACCATAGTTCCTGAAGCGCAAAACTGCAGGGCTCTGAAAAGTCCGTGTGTGTGTGTTTGTGTTGTTGTTTTGTTGTTTTTTGTTGTTGTTTTGTTTGAGACAGAGTCTCGCTCTGTCGCCCAGGCTGGAGTGCAGTGGCGCGATCTCAGCTCACTGCAACCTCCGCCTCCCGGGTTCAAGCCATTCTCCTGCCTCAGCCTCCCGAGTAGCTGGGACTACAGGCGCCGCCACCACACCCGGCTAATTTTGTGTATTTTTAGTAGAGGCGGGATTTCACCGTGTTAGCCAGGATGGTCTCGAACTCCTGACCTCGTGATCCTCCGCCTCGGCCTCCCAAAGTGCTGGGATTACAGGCGTGAGCCACCGCGCCAGGCCAAAAAGTCCGTTTTAAAAGATGATGTATACAAATTATAGCACGGAGACAGAACGGGCAAGTTGTTTCCTCTTGCCATGCCTCCAACTCCTCTGAAATGTGGGTCATGATGGTAAGAGGAAAAACTGTCTCTGCTATAGAGAGGTGGAAAAAGTCCCGCGAAGTGTCCCTGGCATCTAGAAAGCGCTCAGTGGCGTTTGCTGTTATCTTAGGGATATCTGGCTGCCTGGACATTTCTCAGATGAGACTTTTTGTTATTTTAGATACCTAAATTACTATCTTTATGTGCCAAATTGTCAGTTGTCAGCTAGACCTCACTCTCTGCTTAGCAGAAGAAAAGGTAGGAACTGCATTTCCCAGAATCATCTGTGTAGCTCTGTGTTACAGCCTGCCAGAGAGAGGCACTCATACCTTTGGAGGCGATTATTCTTGGGAGGCACTCTCAGCCAGAAATATAGATGAAATTCAAGGCTGTTTGCTAATGAGCTTTTGAGAACCACCTGCCTCACTGATGTAGACCAAGAGATTGCTGGTAGCTTTCTAGTGTTGAGTTTGCATTGGCTTTGCCATGAGCTCTTGAGACCTCCACCCACTTCAGTGCTTTGGGCTGTGGTCATTGGCAACAATTTCCCTGACTTTGCTCCCAGCCTTTGTGTAAGCCCACGATTACATTATCACTGCATACCTAGAGTAGCTTTGTGTTTTCCAATAGCTGAACCCTGCCCAATTCAGTTTGGGGTTCTGGAAGGATATGGGTTATATTATTATTACCAGTTATGCCCTTTTTTCCTTTTTAATTTACTTTTATTTTTATTTTTTTTGAGATGGAGTCCTGCTCTGTCGCCCAGGCTGGAGTGCATTGGCGCAATCTCGGCTTACTGCAACCTCCACCTGCCGGGTTCAAGCGATTCTCCTGCCTCAGCCTCCTGAGTAGCTGGGATTATAGGTGCCTGCCACCACCCGCGTGGCTAATTTTTGTATTTTTAATTTATTTTATTTTTTAATTTAATTTTTTTTTTTTTTTTTTGAAACGGAGTTTCTCTCTTGTGGCCCAGAATGGAGTGCAATGGCATGATCTCGGCTCACTGCAACCTCCACCTCCCGGGTTCAGCCTATTCTGCCTCAACTCCCAAGTAGCTGAGATTACAGGCGCCTGCCAGCACGCCCAGCTAATTATTATATTTTTAGTAGAGATGGGGTTTCACCATGTTTGCCAGGCTGGTCTCGAACTCCTGACCTCGGGTGATCCACCCACGTCAGCCTCCCTAAGTATTGGGATTACAGACGTGAACCACCGCACCCGGCCTGCCCTTCCTTGACGTCCAGCTTAGCTGTGAGACTTCCAAATGGTGATGTAAAGTATTCTGCTGTCATGTGCCCCGTTCAGGCAGAAGCTCTAAAAGGTGTTTTGGGCCGGGCGCGGTGGCTCAAGCCTGTAATCCCAGCACTTTGGGAGGCCGAGACAGGCGGATCATGAGGTCAGGAGATCGAGACCATCCTGGCTAACACAGTGAAACCCCGTCTCTACTAAAAAATACAAAAAAACTAGCCGGGCGAGGTGGCGGGTGCCTGTAGTCCCAGCTACTCGGGAGGCTGAGGCAGGAGAATGGCGTAAACCCGGGAGGCGGAGCTTGCAGTAAGCTGAGATCCGGCCACTGCACTCCAGCCTGGGCGACAGAGCGAGACTCCGTCTCCAAAAAAAAAAAAAGGTGTTTTGTGGTTTAGTCCCTCCCTTTCTGCCCCCAGCATGAACACAGCATGTGCACAGTGAGAGCTGATTTTTCACCCCAGATCCTGTAACAAAGGCACGTGAAGTACAGCCGTCAGCAAGAAGTAAGCCATTGTGATTTCGAGTCTCTGAGACTTCGGGATCCTTTGTTACCACAGCACAACCTAGCGAACGCTTACAAGTACTAAGAATGGTACTTATTATTCTCTTACATAGATAATCAAAGTAATATCCCTTTTTTCTGATTGATACCTCCTTATAAAATACCATCTTGTTGCCCTCCAAAGGATGAAGGGGATTGTAGTAAGGAAGACCACCTTCCCGGGGCTGGGCGAGGCTGCAGTAGTGCCTCTCGTCAGGTCCAGGAGGACTCAGCAGGCTGATGAGGAGGAACACAGGGCATCCGTGTTGGTGCATGCATGGCTTTCCTGGCTCCCCTGGGATGGGAGGAAGGTGAGGATGGAGGGAATCTGGCTGGCTGGGCCTTGTGTACTGGGGAGTGGAGGACCCTTTTGACTGCAGGGATTGCTGAAGCACATGAGCATCTTGAAGTGTGTTAATAAGATACAAGAAACGCTTTTGCCTATTCCAGCATGGTGTACCTCTCGTAGGATGCTTTTTAGCACAGGTAGCGGAATACCAGCCAGCCCACTGTGGCTCAGAGCATTAAGGTATTCAATCATCTGACATTACATGAAGTCCAGTGTTAGGCAGGAGCTCTGTGACTCAGGACATCAGGTTGGTCCACATCCTAGCAGTTCTCTTGGTGTTCCTGCGTGATCACAGGATGACCGCCACACCCCGACCTGCTGACCTCAGTCCTGGCGTGGGCGTAGGAGGGTCTATGTGGCTGAGAATCCAGTGTCCTTTGTACTGCCACACTGACAGCCTCAGCCTGATTTCCAGCACTGTCTGTCCTGGAGCAATGGGTGCGAGAGTCACTCCACAAGACCCTGGAGGCCCGATAGGCGAGTAGATCCACTTCATGGGTGAAATGTGGGATGCTGGGTCTGTGTGGTCAGACATAATAGGTGAAATGGAGTTGGCCACAGGCTGATAATTGCAGAAAGATGCAGGCGGACACATGGGTTCATTAGGTTCTCTGCTTGCTTGCTTTTTTTTTTTTTTTCTCCAGACAGAGCCTCGGTCTGGGGACATTTGGATTGGGATGGGGGTGCTAACAGCATCTAGTGGGTATAGGCCAGGGATGCTGGGTAAACATCCTATGAAGCATGATGTGGCCCCACACAGTGAAATGTCATCAGACCCAAAGTGTCCCTTGTGCCAAGGTTGAGAAACTTGCTCTAAGCAGACCAGAGCAGGCACGAGAGGGGCAGTAAGGGAGCCATCTCTCTGGCAGTTTCGTTTTGTTTTTTTTCCAGACGGAGTTTTGCTCTTGTTGCCCAGACTGGAGTGCAATGGCACAATCTCGGCTCGATGCAAACTCTGCCTCCCAGGTTCAAGGGATTCTCCTGCCTCAGCCTCCCAAGTTGCTGAGATTACAGGTGCCACCACCACGCCCAGCTAATTTTGTATTTTCGGTAGAGATGGAGTTTCACCATGTTGGCCAGGCTGGTCTGGAACTCCTGACCTCAGGTGATCCACCTGCCTCGGCCTCCTAAATTTAGTATTGGGATTACAGGCGTGAGCCACTGCGCCTGGCCCTCTCTGGCAGTTTCTAAAAACGGGTCCCTTCAAAAGCGTTTGCCAGTTTTGTGTGTGTGAATGAAAGAAGACAAATTGGTCTCTGGGAGAGTTATATTTAATATATGATATGTGAGGGCCAATAACCCTTAATAATAAATATATTTTTTTAGACAAAATACATGAAGACCAGTTTCTACATAGAGAATCAGTAAAAGATGGCCGGGCGCGGTGGCTCACGCCTGTAATCCCAGCACTTTGGGAGGCCGAGGCAGGCGGATCACGAGGTCAGCAGATCGAGACCATCCTGGCTAACACGGTGAAACCCTGTCTCTACTAAAAATACAAAAAATTAGCCGGGTGTGGTGGCGGCGCCTGTAGTCCCAGCTACTGGAGAGGCTGAGGCAGGAGAATGGCACCCGGCCTCATCCCGGGAGAATGGCACCTGCCTCATCCCGGGAGGCGGAGCTTGCAGTGAGCCAAGATCGCACCGCTGCACTCCAGCCCGGGCGACAGAGTGAGACTCTGTCTCAAAAAAAAAAAAAAAGAGTCAGTAAAAGATATAAAGCAGAAAAGGATGGAAGAACTACAAATAGGCAACAAATATGTTTAAAAAATGTTTAGCTTCACTTAAAATGAAATAAATATGATTAAGACATTTAAGGTTGGCTTCCCCCCCCCACCCGTGAGTTTAGCGAAGGTTAAAAATTTTAAAAGCCTGATGAAATCTAGGGTTGGCCGAAGTAT